TACTCTACATGTAACTCTTAGATGACTAGGAAAAACTACACATGATGGGTTATGGTGGCACGATGGGACATGTCTGAGTGGGTGCGAGTTGGTCATCGCTATGTTTTCATAGGTTTGGGCTTGACCAACTCCTATGAGATCTCTTAAAAGTAAATAAACTAGTGGGATAAGATGGATAAGTACTCTGCAGACCTATGTAGATCTCTCAAATGTAAGGGAACTAGTGGAATGAGAGGGAAAGGTGTGCGTGGCGGGAGGCGGGCACGGCCAGGAACTCTAGCGATGGCGATGCTACATGTAACTCTTATATGACTAGGAAAAACTACACATGACACATGATGGGTTATGGTGGCCTGGTGGGACATGTCTGAGTGGGTGCGAGTTGGTTGTCGCTATGTTTTCATAGGTTTGGGCTTGACCAACTCCTATGAGATGTCCGAGTTCGGCACCATAACCAGCCCGGAGAACTCGCCTAATACCTCGGGCCGGAAGAACAATATCACCATCACCCGCCTAAGAAACGAGGAGATCGAGGAGATGGTATAGGAGGCGAGACTTACAAGGCCGAGGGGGCTAGGAGCACAAGAAGAAGGCAGCGTGTGTTAAACATTCACGTAAGTTGGCCCTAGTAAAAAAACTAGTAGTATTAGAGGAGAAAGTACTCATGCTCTACATGTAACTCTTATATGACTAGGAAAAACTACACATGATGGGTTATGGTGGCTGGTGGGACATGTCCGAGTGGGTGCGAGTTGGTTGTTGCTATCTTTTCATAGGTTTGGGCTTGACCAACTCCTATGAGGTCTCTTAAAAGTAAATAAACTAGTGGGATAAGATGGATAAGTACTCAAAGTTGGCCCTAGTAAAAAAAAAACTAGTAGTATTAGAGGAGAAAGTACTCATACTCTACATGTAACTCTTAGATGACTAGGAAAACTACACATGATGGGTTATGGTGGCACGATGGGACATGTCTCGAGTGGGTGCGAGTTGGTCATCGCTATGTTTTCATAGGTTTGGGCTTGACCAACTCCTATGAGATCTCTTAAAAGTAAATAAACTAGTGGGATAAGATGGATAAGTACTCTGCAGCCTATGTAGATCTCTCAAATGTAAGGGAACTAGTGGAATGAGAGGGAAAGGTGTGCGTGGCGGGGGGGCGGCACGACCGGAACTCTAGCGATGGCGATGCTACATGTAACTCTTATATGACTAGGAAAAACTACACATGACACATGATGGGTTATGGTGGCCTGGTGGGACATGTCTGAGTGGGTGCGAGTTGGTTGTCGCTATGTTTTCATAGGTTTGGGCTTGACCAACTCCTATGAGATGTCTGAGTTCGGCACCATAACCACCCAGAGAACTCGCCTAATACCTCGGGCCGGAAGAACAATATCACCATCACCCGCCTAAGAAACGAGGAGATCGAGGGGAGATGGTATAGGAGGCGAGAGACTTACAAGGCCGAGGGCTAGGAGCACAAGAAGAAGGCAGCGTGTGTTAAACATTCACGTAAGTTGGCCCTAGTAAAAAAACTAGTAGTATTAGAGGAGAAAGTACTCAGTACTCTACATGTAACTCTTATATGACTAGGAAAAACTACACATGATGGGTTATGGTGGCACAGTGGGACATGTCTGAGTGGGTGCGAGTTGGTTGTTGCTATCTTTTTCATAGGTTTGGGCTTGACCAACTCCTATGAGGTCTCTTAAAAGTAAATAAACTAGTGGGATAAGATGGATAAGTACTCAAAGTTGGCCCTAGTAAAAAAAAACTAGTAGTATTAGAGGAGAAAGTACTCATACTCTACATGTAACTCTTAGATGACTAGGAAAAACTACACATGATGGGTTATGGTGGCACGATGGGACATGTCCGAGTGGGTGCGAGTTGGTCATCGCTATGTTTTCATAGGTTTGGGCTTGACCAACTCCTATGAGATCTCTTAAAAGTAAATAAACTAGTGGGATAAGATGGATAAGTACTCTGCAGCCTATGTAGATCTCTCAAATGTAAGGGAACTAGTGGAATGAGAGGGAAAGGTGTGCAATGTGGCGAGGCGGCGGCACGACCGAACTCTAGCGATGGCGATGCTACATGTAACTCTTATATGACTAGGAAAAACTACACATGACACATGATGGGTTATGGTGGCCTGGTGGGACATGTCTGAGTGGGTGCGAGTTGGTTGTCGCTATGTTTTCATAGGTTTGGGCTTGACCAACTCCTATGAGATGTCTGAGTTCGGCACCATAACCAGACCAGAAACTACGCCTAATACCTCGGGCCGGAAGAACAATATCACCATCACCCGCCTAAGAAACGAGGAGATCGAGGAGATGGTATAGGAGGCGGAGACTTACAAGGCCGAGGGCTAGGAGCACAAGAAGAAGGCGTGTGTGTTAAACATTCACGTAAGTTGGCCCTAGTAAAAAACTAGTAGTATTAGAGGAGAAAGTACTCATACTCTACATGTAACTCTTATATGACTAGGAAAAACTACACATGATGGGTTATGGTGGCACAGTGGGACATGTCCGAGTGGGTGCGAGTTGGTTGTTGCTATCTTTTCATAGGTTTGGGCTTGACCAACTCCTATGAGGTCTCTTAAAAGTAAATAAACTAGTGGGATAAGATGGATAAGTACTCAAAAGTTGGCCCTAGTAAAAAAAACTAGTAGTATTAGAGGAGAAAGTACTCAGACTCTACATGTAACTCTTAGATGACTAGGAAAAACTACACATGATGGGTTATGGTGGCACGATGGGACATGTCCAGAGTGGGTGCGAGTTGGTCATCGCTATGTTTTCATAGGTTTGGGCTTGACCAACTCCTATGAGATCTCTTAAAAGTAAATAAACTAGTGGGATAAGATGGATAAGTACTCTGCAGCCTATGTAGATCTCTCAAATGTAAGGGAACTAGTGGAATGAGAGGGAAAGGTGTGCGGCGGCGAGGCGGCACACGACCGGAACTCTAGCGATGGCGATGCTACATGTAACTCTTATATGACTAGGAAAAACTACACATGACACATGATGGGTTATGGTGGCACAGTGGGACATGTCAGAGTGGGTGCGAGTTGGTTGTCGCTATGTTTTCATAGGTTTGGGCTTGACCAACTCCTATGAGATGTCCGAGTTCGGCACCATAACCACCCAGAGAACTACGCCTAATACCTCGGGCGGAAGAACAATATCACCATCACCCGCCTAAGAAACGAGGAGATCGAGGAGATGGTATAGGAGGCGAGACTTACAAGGCCGAGGGCTAGGAGCACAAGAAGAAGGCGTGTGTGTTAAACATTCACGTAAGTTGGCCCTAGTAAAAAAACTAGTAGTATTAGAGGAGAAAGTACTGTACTCTACATGTAACTCTTATATGACTAGGAAAAACTACACATGATGGGTTATGGTGGCACAGTGGGACATGTCCGAGTGGGTGCGAGTTGGTTGTTGCTATCTTTTCATAGGTTTGGGCTTGACCAACTCCTATGAGGTCTCTTAAAAGTAAATAAACTAGTGGGATAAGATGGATAAGTACTCTGAAAGTTGGCCCTAGTAAAAAAAACTAGTAGTATTAGAGGAGAAAGTACTCTGTACTCTACATGTAACTCTTAGATGACTAGGAAAAACTACACATGATGGGTTATGGCGAGTTGGTCATCGCTATGTTTTCATAGGTTTGGGCTTGACCAACTCCTATGAGATCTCTTAAAAGTAAATAAACTAGTGGGATAAGATGGATAAGTACTCTGCAGCCTATGTAGATCTCTCAAATGTAAGGGAACTAGTGGAATGAGAGGGAAAGGTGTGCAGCGGCAGGAGCGGGCACGACCGGAACTCTAGCGATGGCAGTGCTACATGTAACTCTTATATGACTAGGAAAAACTACACATGACACATGATGGGTTATGGTGGCCTGGTGGGACATGTCTGAGTGGGTGCGAGTTGGTTGTCCCTCATCCCCGCGCCGGCGACCTCCCCACCCGACGGCGAGCGACCTTGCGAAAAGCGACGAGCTTGCTACGACAAGCAGAAGGTTCGGGCAAACCAAACAGATGGTCTATATTTGCATGCACAAAAAAAATAAAAATAGTCAGCAAAAGACAGGTAGGGTAAAAAAAATGATTGAAGATATGTAGGGTAAAATATGGATTAAAAAAATGTAGGGTAAAATATGGATTGACGCGAGGAATGGTAAAATAAGGATTGAAGGAGGTACTCCTCCGTCCATTAAAAAATGCAATTATAAGACTTTCAAAGATCACGTTTGATCATTCGTCTTATTAAAAAAAAACAATTACATATTTTAAAATAAATTAATTATTATTAAAGTATCTTATATGATAAAATAAAACATAATTGGATACATGATATTTATATAAAATTTTTGAATAAGATGAATGGTCAAAAGCGATCTTTGAAAGTGCTACAATTGCATTCTTTAATGGAGTACTCCTCCGTTCCAAAATATAAGTCGTTCGTTCTCGCTTCCTTAGAAACAACTACTACCGCAATTATATATTAAAATATATAAATAGTTATGCTAAGTAATTAGTATTATCGGAAAGATCTTTATGTCTAATTTTTTAACAAATTTATTTGAATATATAAATATTTTATATCTTTTCTATAAATCGAGTCAAACATGTGACACAGAAACCAAAACGACACTTATTTTGAAATTGAAGGAGTAGGTGAAAGTTGGGAGAGTAAAAGTTGCCGGCTGGGCAATAGGCAATAGGCCGGCTGGGCAGGCTTCTATGCCACACGCAAAGCTGCCGGCTGGGCAGGCTTCACGGGCGGTGAGCGGGTATTGACTCGACGACTCGTTGTGAGCGGCACAGACTACATCGCCGCAATGGTACTCCCTTTTACCCGCCCGCCGCCGCCCTCTTCCATTCTTCTCTCTAGCGCTGCTCGAGGCAGTCACATCGCAATTGCTCCTGGCTGGAACCCTGGAACCTATACATGGCTACTCGGCGGCAACCGGCGATGCGGGCTCGCAAAACCAGATTGGACTCCGGGCTCCAGACCAAGAAACGCAAGGTCTTTTTTTCTCCTTCTCCCTCACTCTCCTTTTGTGGCCGGAGGCGATGGCGGCGGCGGCGGTTTAGGTCCGGTGCCCCGCCGTCGTACCTTGCAACAGCTGCTCCCGTCGGCGCAGTCGGATCCGCCGCCGCATCTCGCTTTGCCAGTTTGTTGTTGTGAGAAAACTTTATGTATATTTGCTCTTGTTTATTCCCTTGCTGTTTTTTTAACAAACTGCTATAAAGTTAATTCTTGGTTTGTTCCCTTTTAGATTCATAACGAGTCCTCTTGCTCGTCTCCGGCCGACGGGACGCCCAGATCTCCGGCCGACTATACGTGCACATCTCCGGACGAGGAATCGTCCACTTTTCACTCTTCAACCTGTCGCTTGGGTACGTCTCGGTCTTCACCCGGTGGATTATCAGGAAGATCTCTCTCTTCTTCCATCCTGTGTCTGCAGGGCGCCGTCTGCGGTGGCGCCGTCTGCAGGGCTGTGATTTCTAGTGTCTTTTTAGATTAGAGTTTTAGTCTCTAGGACAGCACCAAAGTGTGATTTTGTCAACTGCGGTGGCATTGTAAGCTGGTCAAACAGCCATCTTCTATATATTCTCCCTTTGCTACCTGTCATCTTAACAGCTTCTCGAGAATGCTTGTTGGTGGTTTAATGATTGTCTCTATATATGTTGTTCTAGCTTGTTGATTGGTTTGGTGGTTCAACGTTGATATTGCCAAATCTTTGTTTTCACAATTGATAGCACAATGGCCCTTAAGAGATGAGAGATATCAGAGTTGCTATCTTACTACTTGATGTTGTGCACTAGTAGTCTGTAGCACCACTTATTGTTGTATCATGTGCTAAGAATTGGCAATATCAACGTTGATTTGCTTCTGAAATTTTAAAACACTGATGACCTCACTTATAATGGTGACAGTCTTACTACTTGATGTTGTGCACTAGTAGTCTGGTAGCACCACTTATTGTTGTATCATGTGCTAAGAATTGGCAATATCAACGTTGTTTGCTTCTGAAATTTTAAAACACTGATGACCTCACTTATAATGGTGACAGATTCTGGACAGCAGCCCCATCCCAGGAACATGGAGGATGAAATTGATTCTCTGGATAAGAAAATCATTGCTGTGATTGGGACGATATCTTCGTGTTATACTATGAGTGATGGATGGTATCATGGTGCAGGCGGTATGAGACTTATTTTTGATAGGATTTCTGTGGTGGAGGAGTACAAACACGTCACGATAGAAATGATTAAGGAACGGATTGAAAAATTAGAACAGATGGTTGAAGATTTCTGTGTTAGTAAGCAGCGAAATCCATATCATAGTCCAAAACTTGTTTTAATCCTAGGGCCTTTCCCTACTGACCCTTTTTTTTTAGGAGAAACGACGACCAAGTTTGCCCCATGAGAAGCCTATGCTTTATGTGTTCAGGGGTTATGAGATTATTGCCCCCCAGAGTCCACGAAGTTCTGGGAAAAGAGATGCCCTTGTTTCGGAAGAACTGGAAGCACCTTCCACTAAAAGAGTACGTTCAGAGAGTGTTGATATGGTTATGTATCTGAGCAATCCAGACGCCGCATCAAAGCTTTTAAAAGGTGGCCTTGGTATGGACGATTGTACTACAAGAGCTGAGTACTTACTTCATGACTCTCACATGCTATATCCTGCTGTCACTCTTTTGAGGCAAAATATAGAAATTCGTCAGTCATTCATGACTTTTGGAGACAGTCATGCACGTGGTTATATTGAGTATGAGCTGAAGCAACATGGTATGCTGTGAACTGGTGAGTGGAGTGTTAGGGATGACTCACCAGCACACACTATAAGACTGCCCTGCGACTTTCATTATGCTGTTTTGGTTGTGCAGCCGTGATATGAACATTTTGTTTCCCTTGATATGATCATTTTCTCATCTTGACCATTTTCTCATCTTTGTAGGAAAGAGGGGGAGCTCAAAGAGGGGTGGAGACGTCTGAGCACTCTTGGGAAGTACCTGATCAGTGAGGGTGACCTGCAGTGGGGCAATGATCAGTGCCCAAAACTTAATGTAGTATTCTTAGTTTGCTGAAGTAGAAGTCTAATGAACCAGTACTTTGTAGTTTGTAGTACTCATGTTGCATGCTTGTCCTGTCGTGAACAATTAAACTTGGTCTGTAATAATTTTGCTTGTCCTGTGGTGACAAGTTGTTGAACTTGGTCTGGATTTCTGAATGTTGAACTAGAAGCCGCGCCTCGCTTGCTTGCTGTTAGTGGATGAATCATGCTAGTTTGAAAGTGAAGGGGAGAGGCTGATCATGGAGAAAGACACATATGCTAATGACCTTGCTACACTGGAAGAACATCTCTCAGGAGTAAGGAAACCAATGGAAGATATTGTTAAAGTAAGGAAACAAGTGGGATAAGAGGGACAAGTACTCTTCAATAGTTTCCTTACTATTGAGAGATCTAAGTAGACAACAGAGTACTTCTCCCCATTATCCCACTAGTTTCCTAACCTTTGAGAGATCTAAGTAGTTGACAGAGTACTTTTCATACCACGAAGCTTGATAGCTTGCCAGACAAGGTATTAGGGAGTACAAGAAGAAACTTTTGGGACGGCACCGTTTATCTGGCACCGGATTCCTTGACTCGAGCACCCTTTCCACACAGCGGCACTGTTTTGACTAAGACTTGTGCTGCCGGCTATCGCGGTCAGCCTGCCACCTGATGAGCGAAAATAAGAGGTGGACATAAAAGGATGTAACGCAGCACCACACAGTTCAAGTTCACCAGTTCACCACTTGACCACACAATAATACAAGTTCAGATTCAAACTGCAGCAGCAACTCATAATGACACAATACAAGTCTTTAAAAAGATAAAAAAACAAAAGTTCCAGCAACAGCCCTTCAACATCACAGATTCAAGTCTTCATCTCCACACAATAATACAAGTTCAGATTCAAACAATACAAGTCTTTAAAAAGATAAAAAAACAAAAGTTCCAGCAACAGCCCTTCAACATCACAGATTCAAGTCTTCATCTCCATCTCCATGACTCCATGAACCAGCAGTCCCAGCAGAACCTGAAGATGTATAACGCAACAACTTAGAAACTGCACACTGCATAGGTAATGTACATTATTTGAAATTAAGAACACATGAAGAGCTAAGACCCAAACACAACTATCAAAATGAAGAGAAAGCATCTAAAGAATCCATAATATTCTATACAAAAAAAAAATATCTATGATTATTTAGATATCCTTTTTGTATAATAAAGTAATGACTCTAGTAATCCTCCTCACTTGCCGATGTCGTCCTCTGCAACATCCTCCTCGTCGTCCTCATCGTCGTCGTCGTCCTCCTCCTCATCATCATCGTTGTCGTCCTCCTCGTCGTCGTCGGAGCAGTAGTAGGCATCGTCTTAGATCTCTCAATAGTAAGGAAACTATTGAAGAGTACTTGTCCCCCTTATCCCACTTGTTTCCTTACTTTAACAATATCTTCCATTGGTTTCCTTACTCCTGAGAGATGTTCTTCCAGTGTAGCAAGGTCATTAGCATATGTGTCTTTCTCCATGATCAGCCTCTCCCCTTCACTTTCATAAGCCTAAATTTGGGATATATTAAAGATTGAATCGTCAGGATTACTGCTGAAGTAAACATAAAATAATCAATTCATGGCCACTATCAGAGAAGGAATTCAACAGAACTGATCTTAAAATGTTGCTTATGAAAGATGTCCATCCTCGCATAGTTAACTCATGGAGATGGATGAAATTTATAATTTTCAGCTATGTGCAGCTTACTATAGTTTCCTAACTTTTGAGAGAGTAGTCGTGTGGTGGGCCGAGTTGGGCCAGTTTTTCTTCCTAGGCCGGTCCAGCTTGAAAACAGATCAAACGGCCGAAGCAACGCGCCGTCGCCCGTCCCCCCTCGCCGCCGGCCGAAGCAACTCGCCGTCGCCCGTCCCCCCTCGCCGCCGGCCGAAGCAACTCGCCGTCGCCCGTCCCCCCTCGCCGCCGACCGAACCGCGACCAGGCACGTAATGCAGCCCTAATCCAGCCCCACCCTCTCCCACCCTCTCTCTTCCCCCTCTTTCCCCTCTTTCCCCTAAGCTCTAATCGAGCCCTAACCAGGGACGGATTCAGGAACGCTGAGCGCAGTGGCTCTTCGGAGTAGTGGAGTAGAGCAGCAAACACCTAGCATATCTTTTAATTTTGAGAGTCCAATTTCATGAACATCTGAATTGTTTGCTTAGCAGCTTTCACAAGCATTAAAATGCTGGGGCCAAACCGAGCTGTCAATGATGTTTACATTGAAGTGCTGTCATGGCCTGTTATCGATATTTTGAAGCGGAAACTTGACCCTGTTAAGGTAATGTGCCTCTCCCAAGTCCCAACAGGTAACATTCCTTATTTTGAACCTCAAACATCTCCATTTCAAGGTTGCCATGTTGTTACAGTTACCATTGGAGATGATCCCAAATGAATTTAAAACCTGGGGTGACTACAAAGAAGCATTTCGCAATCCAATATTACAGGAAATCTGGGCTCAAATAGACTCGGGCATGGATACCATTTCGAGATGCCTATATGTGCCTTGCCCTCATGTCTCTATGAAGAATTCAAATTCTACTATGTACCAAATCACGGGCAATGCACCAGAAGGCGTTGTGCTAAAAAAAGTGGAGATATCATGTTATTTTCAGCAAAGGGATTGAATTCTAGAGAGCAAATTATTCAGGACAGGTCCTTCTGCGCCATCATCCTATATATTGTAGAAGTGTTACCTAAATACATGCTTGTCAGGCTATCGCAGAATCCATTTGGGGGCAGTCTGAATACGAAAAATTCCTACCAAATTATGTACCTGGCTAGTCTGAAAACATATCAAAGTATTTGGAAAGTCATGAACAGATGTCCCAGAAAAATTTCTGAACTATGCAATCTCATATGCACTAAAAATATGAATGGAGTATGTCCTGACATTTCTCTCTTAATTTGAGAAAAGTTTTGCATTGCGCACTGACATTTTGAATATATGCTGTAGGCTGATGGAGAATGTGGACTATTTGAAGGTAAACCAAAAGATGTTGAAGCTGTCCGTGTTGATTTTGGACTAAATGAATCACAGAGTGATGCAGTAGCAAGTTGCATTTCAGCAACTAAATCTGAGAAATCTTCTGTACATCTAATTTGGGGCCCACCTGGCACAGGAAAAACTAAAACAGTTTCAGTGATTCTGTGTAAGCTTCTAATGATTCCTAGCAAACCTAGAATTCTTGTATGTGCTCCAACCAACACAGCTCTCGTGCAATTGGCTTCTCGTCTTGTTTCTCTAGTTGATAAGTCCACTGAAACCAAACATTTACTTGGCAACATTATTATGTTTTTGGTAGTGACAAGCTCTCGTCATGTTGTAAGAAGACTGATAATGCCCTGTCAAAAATATATTTGAAGAATCGTGTTTATACGAATGATAGAAATAAAGAGGAAAGGCTGTTGCGAGATTCACAACTTGTATTTTGCACTCCTTTCATGTCGACTAGGTTGAAATGTCAGCAATACGACATCTTGATTATTGATGAGGCAGCATACTTAAAAGAATGTGAGTCAATGGTCCCTCTCTCAATTGACGGGATAAAACATTTGGTGCTTATTGGGGATGACAAGCAGCTCCAATCAGTGGTAATGAGCCAGGTAAATCTTCCTTATAATGCCATTTGAATTGTCACCAGTGATTATTTCCTAATTTCTAGATTGCTCATCCTCCTCGCTGCTAATTGCGTAGATTGCTAAAGAGGCTAAGTATGGACGAAGCCTCTTTGAGAGATTGTGTGAAATTGGTTACCACAAGCACTTGTTAAATGTGCAATATAGAATGCATCCTTACATCAGCAAGTTTCCAAATACAACTTTTTATGATGGAAGAATTATAGATGCCACTAAAAACACAGCTGCCAAGATTTTTGTTGGCAATATTTTTGGCAATTATTCATTCATTAATATTGAAGATGGTATAGAAGAGCAGATTGGTCAGAGTGTACAAAATATGGTTGAAGCTGCTGTAGCAACTACTATTGTTTCCAAGCTTTCTAAAGGTATAGTCCGTAAATTTTGGAGTTTTACTAATCCAATATTTTTGGCAATTATTCATTCATTAAAATTTGGTCTACAACTGCAGCATGCAGCAACCAGAATAAGAAAGCCAGCGTTGGTGTTATATCTCTTTATGCAGCCCAAGTGAATGCTTTGAAAGAAAATATTGGAACGATTCAGACTGATGAGCTTCTTTCTGTTGAAGTAAAAACTGTTGATTCATTTCAAGGTGATGAGAAGGATATCATAATACTTTCAACAGTTAGAAACAATAAAGTTGGGAATATAGGCTTTCTAGATTCTGGTGGGAGAGCTAATGTGGCCTTGACAAGAGCAAGGTATATTACCTTTTTTCCTTTGGATCCTTTGAAAATTTATATCCCAGTACATTTTTATTTAAATTTTTTTTCCCCAACAGGGATTGCCTTTGGATTCTTGGAAATGAAAAAACTCTCATTAAGAGTAATTCAGTATGGTCTAAGCTAGTCCAAGATGCGAAAGGTCGTTTCTCTTTCTTTGATGCTCATGCTGACCCGGATCTTGATAGTGTAATTAGTGGCTTCAAATCTATGAACAGTCCATCACCATCTGGGTGCAGTCAGCTAAATATGCAACTCGCAAGTGATATCATAATAGAGGCTGGAATAGAGGAAGTAGAAGCAGTCGTTGATTTTTCTCCTTCAACAAAGAGGCTCTGTTCGTCGTGTGAGGACCAGCTTGATTTGTCTCCTAGTCACATTCCTTCAAGGAAGAGGCTCTGTTCTTCGCATGAGGACCAGCTTGCCAGACCAAAAGTACGAGAACCTGAAGTTTCAAGCACCATTCCTGAAGAGTCACCAGCCACAGACCCGTTGCTGTCAGCGGGGATGCAGATCGAGGTCCCCCTCCAGGACTCGCAAGGACAATCTGCAGATGTTGTTCCTGCTCCTCCCGGCCTGTGCTTCGAGTTGATGCAATCTAAGCAGTAAGTGTACTTAAATTCAATATCTGCATTCTTCCTTGCTCTGCAAACGTACTGAGTGATAACATGTTTGCTCTTAGGAAATCTGTATCAATAGCAGCAACATCCGCGATTATTGGTGCAGCGCCATCTTCCTCATTTGAAGCCCCAGAGCATCCGACTACCTTTGTAGTCACTGAGCCTAGTACTTTCCCACCTGGCGATGTATCAGCCCATGAAGAAGCACTGAATCTGAAAATGGAGTTGGAGAAGAAACATCATGATCATATAGCTGTTAGTATACGTATCAATATATTTCAAGAAACACTGTATCTGTACTGCCATCTAGATATATCGCTGACTTGTCTTGGTGCATGCCAGACTTTTGTTGAACGAGAAAGGCAGAACTTGGCACTTCTGAAACAGAGCTTGGCACTTGTGAAACAGTCCAACCAACTTCTCGCCCGGGCAGAGTCTGCTGAAGCAAAGTCGGTTGAGGAGCAAGAGCGCTATGCAAAACAAGAAGAAGATCATCTGGCTGCAATTGCTGTCCTCCAGGAACAAGTTGACTCTCTAAAAGAGAAGAACAAGGAGCTATCGGCTTCTCTAAAAGGTTAGAATTCCTTATTTCGATGTCGTGATCTACTCATCCCAATGATGCTGATGTAGTCTTGGGTACTTCAGAGCGTGTTAAAGCTGAGGCCACAATCAAGGAAGAATTGACCAACGCAAAGAATCTCCAGCACCATCTGGACCAAGCTCTTCAGATAGAGAAGATCCTCAAAGATCATGTAGAGTCAGAGAGGAAGATGGGCCAGGATGCTGATTCTCAACTAGTTGCTGCTAGGCAGCAGATCCGAAATCTGAGTACTCTCTTGGAGAAGTCCATAGCAGAAAAAGAAGAAATCAAGGTGGCTACCACCTCCATTCTCCAAATGGTCTCTGAATTGCCTGAGAATGAAGTTTCCAATCCCTTGGAACAGATGCCTGGTCTGATCCAAGTATACTGTAAGAAAGCAGCTAGAGTTTTTGCTTTGAAAGCACTTGGCTCAGTGAGAGCTTTCTTCCCCAGTCTTGATCTTACTCCAGTTGGTGAGGGTATACCAGAAGATTGCTCAAGTGAAGATTTAGCTGGTCACATAGCTGCAATGGAGTCTGTAGCGGAAAGGCTACTCGCTGACAATGTGACCTAGCTCTTATGGTGAAACATTGAAAAGCAACTGATGTGCCTTTTATCTTGTAAGGCAACGTTAAGTATAGTAACTTAAGTTATGGCCAACAGCAGTTCCTTTTGCCTAGCTTAAACTATAACTTTATATGATTCCAAGTAATTCATCAAAACTAACAGCCAATTCCTTCTCAATGTAAGAAAACTAGTTGGATAAGGGGACAAAGTACTCCGTATGGCTGACTAATTCCAGGGAGGGATAAGAGGAAAAGTACTCCGACTCTACATGTAACTCTGAGATGACTCCGACAAACTACACACGATGAATCTGGCTTGATAGGATTTGGGCCCGTTAGGCCGAAACGGGCGCTTGTAATCCGTTACATTGTGTAGGCAGTAGGCACATGTCCAGGATTTCTTCTGTCCTTGGTGAGTTTGGTCTGAGTTGTAGTGGGTGACTTTAAGTTCTGCATTTTGTTTTTGGGAGGTAGGGTGCCAGGTGATGGTTTTGTGAAAAGCGGGGTGCCCGATTTGCATGTCAAATGTATTCACAAAGTAGGAGCTTACATTCGTGTAAGTGGAATTAAGTATTACTTGAACCTCTGCAATGTTAGGAGCTTACATTTGTTTTTACATTGATGTCACACTGTTTTAGTGTTTCTAGCGTGAATATGTCAAAATCTTAGTTCTTGATGCATACCTTCCTCCCCTATTAGCTGAGGAAGGTTAAGGTAGGGAAGGCCCAACATCCGTCAAGAAAAAACTTACGGACAGATGATAAAGCTCTACCAAGTTAATTATAAAACAAAGTGTTTCAACATATTCTAAAGACCATAAGTTCAGGTACCGGTACTCTGTATTGGCAGTGGATTTACCGGTGCTTTTCTGAATCGGTAACATTTGCTACTGATAGTATTTCAGGTAGCTGGTAGGTAATATTTTAGTCCCATGGACTGCTCTATTGCATACATTGTGGTTGCTCTAAATGGTGATGACCTGCTCTTATGCGGTTGCCCTGGTCGTTCATGGCGACCTAGTTCTTGGTGGCGTCGCCGACGAGCCTCCTTGCGCCTCCACTCAAAATTCCCCTCCAAGCCCACCTTGTTTGGACATTGCTCTCCTTGCCATGTCTTTGGTGAAGAACATCAGTTTGACGTGAAACTGTGTTATTCGTGTATGCCTTCTTTATTGTCCTGTCGTGTGAACAATTAAACTTGGTCTGTAATTCTGCTTGTCCTGTGGTGACAAGTTGTTGAACTTGGTCTGAATTTCTGAATGTTGAATTTGGTTTCCCTAATTTCTGAATGTTGAATTTGGTTTCCCTATCTCCGGATAAAACCATGTTGAATCATAAATATAGATTTCACTCGTGTGCTAGCCTCAGCAAACAGTTCACCCCAGAAAATAATATTGGGTACATGAAACAGGTATTATAAGCATAAAACACGAACTGGTACATAAGACACGAATTGGTACGTAAACATTAAAAACCATCAAACAACGGATTCAGGAATTTGGGAAGCTTTGGGAGGCTTGGCGGCGGTCGTCGGAGCCACAGCGGTCGAGGAGACATGAAGGCGAGGCGGGGGCTCCTCGGCGGCGAGGCAGGGCGGTCGCCGGGGTTGGAGGCGGCGGCCAGCCGTCGCGCCCAGCGTCACCGGGCAGGATCGCAGGCGGCGGCTGGGCAGCAGCTCGGGGCGAGGCGAGGCGGGCGCTCCTCGGCGGCGAGGCAGGGCGGTCGCCGGAGTTGGATAAGGCAGCCACTGAATGGGCTGAAAGATTTTGGCCCATGTGCCACCCATGGGCCAGGCCCAGTGCGACTCGGTGCCCAGTGCGAATCGGTGCCCAGTGCGAATCGGTGCACTGTTTTAGTGGTGGAGAGTGGCGAATCGGTGCCCAGTGCGAATCGGTGCCCTAGATTTTAAACTCGGTGCGCTCCCCGACGCCGCCGAGCTCTCTCTACTCTCGGCCACCTCTCCCCGACGCCGGCGAGCTCTCCTACTCGAAGGCCACCTCTCCCCCGACGCCGGCGAGCTCTCCTACTCGAAGGCCACCTCTCCGGTCGCCGCCTTCTCTTGTGAGTACCCCTATCGTTAAGCTTTGTTTAGGGTTCAATTTAAAGATTGTAGTGAATCATTGGAATAGTAAATTGAAACAAGGCACAACTCTCTTGTAAATTTGTTGAAATATATACAAAGTTGAAATATATACAAAGTGGAGATGTAATGTATTTGCATTCCAAACATATTGCCTTTTTCTTTCAATGATCATTTTACTAGTCTTGCCTGAAATCAAGCAAACAAAGAGTTGAATGCCATAGCATTAATGCAAAACTGTAAACTAAATTCTTCCCAAACAAACTGCAAAGTTCCACTAGTGAACATGTTGTAAATAATGCTTTGCTTTGTAAAACCCATAATACCCATGTCATGGTTCTGGAGCAGGTAAGCCCAACAGCTGGCCCATTAAGGCCTTCATCATGAATCTGAAACCACTTATAAATTACAGAATACATGATTCTTGTTGAGTTATTTTACGCAAACATCTACACTTGCTAGTCCAAATTCCTTGAATTTTAACACCATCTTTCATCTGTTACTTACTATGGCATCAACCAGCTGTAATGTTTTCACATCACTTTTGTCCTTCAGTCAATCGACCTTCGACCATTAGATTTTGACATGAAATAATTTGATGCATGCATGAAATACCTTGTCTAGTATCTTGTTGCTTAATAACTGTTCTGATGAACTGTTTATGTGTTCATCAGAAAGCACAATGGGAGTAGACAGAAAAGTAAAATGTTCTCTAAAGGCAGTTGCCCAAGCAGTAGGATTCTTGGGTGATGAAGCAACCCGTATCTTGAAAGATGACCTCAAGTTTCATAACATGATGGGGCTGGATCTGGATAGCTTGAAAAGGCGTGACATTGTGGAAATTATATATAATAGAACAGAAGTGGTAGATGGCACAATTGTGACACATATAAGCAATGAGCAAAGGATTGTGGTCACAGTTAAGAGGATTGAGGAAATATTAGGCCTTCCACGCGGAATTGAGGGAGAGGAAGTGATTTTGCCAAAATCTGCACACAAACAAGTTCTTGATTTGTTCTCGCAGTATCCCGATACCCTCAATAAGGACGTCCCTTCGAAGCCCAATTTTAAAAATTCGCTAATTGGTGCCAAGAATTTGATCAATTTGATGAAGAAGGTTCCTGACTCAAAAGACAAAGTTAGGTGCTTTTTGATGGTCCTACTGAACCGGGTGTTGATTCCGGCAAGTGGCTTTCATCTGAATGAAAGGCAGGCTGCATTAGCTTGGGACCTTGAATGTGTAGCCAAGACTGATTGGTGCAAGGTGGTATTCGATGACTTGTCAGATTGCATAGTGAACAAGCATAGTGACACCAATTTTTCTGGTTGTTCACTTGTTCTAGTGGTAAGCAGCTTCAACTCCTCCTTTGTGTAGAGTAAATATGGAACTTACAGTTTTTCTCTGTCCTTTGTGTAGAGTAAATATGGAACTTACAGTTTTTCTCTGTGACAGATTGCTGTCTTCGAGGCCGTAGTGCCATCTCACTGTCCAAAGACAAAACCATCTATCATTGGTTACAACAAGAAAACGTTGAAAACACTTCTTGATCTAATTAAAGGAATGGTGAAAGAATGTGGCACTGATGAAGAGGATAAAATGGGGCAAAATGGGTCTTTCCCAGACTATGAAGAGGATATTCACATAATTATGAAGAATATGGCTGATCATCTTAATGATGTGAAACATATGTTGCCAGAAGAACAACAGGAATCAATTGAATCCACCCTGGAAGCTTTTGATGCACTCACAATGAGGTAAACATGAAGCGGTATTGCTGCAATAGTTTTCAAATCAATTCCATTTTTCCTAACCCAATGTTTCATCTTTTCAGAATTTGGCCGCTGGATCTTTGGGATCCATTTTACAAAGCCAATGTTTTAGAAGTGGACAATGACAGCGATGGTAGCCATATCATGGTACAGATAGGTGACCATATGGTTACCAAAACTACATTTAGAGAAAGCTTGAAGCCAGATGGCTGGATGAGCTCATTTGTGATGGATGCGCAATGTGAAATCTGGCGCTCACAATGGCCGGACAAGATCATTCTTACTAATTACGCTTCCGTAAGTTCCAACTTCTCTTATCATACTTGTAACTTTTACATAATACATATTCACCATCTCATGAATTTTATAGAAAGAATTGCTGGATCAAAACGGTACAAAATCCCTGGACAAGGAGCTTAATGAAGAAAATGTAAACAACGCTAAACAGGTTTTGCTCTTTTCTATTATATTTTTATTTGATTTAGTTGATTCTGTCAATGGAGGTCCCTGAAACCCTGAATTTGACAAGTTTTTTTTTCCTAGATATTTGTGGCCGTAAATGCAGAAAGAGTGCACTGGATATTGGTTGTAATGGACTTTGATAAACACAAAGTGCAAATCCTAGACTCCTTTGCTTCAGAGACTTATCTTGTCCCTGCTTATAAAGTGGTATGTTATTCCTTCATTCCTGAGCTTCATGTTTACTCCTTTTTAGGGAAATAGCAAAGATGAAAGCTTGCTAGTTATATAATATATATATTACAGTTTTAACTATTTATTTACTTGTTACTGCCGTGTAATGGCATCAATGCATTTATGCAGGCATCACAGCTGGAGTTGTATTTAATGACCAAATTCAACCTGCATACTGGCTATCCTAAGGAGAGGGACTTGAAGTTGGAAAAACAGAAAAACATGTAATTTTTCCTTCCTTAAAGATAACTTAGACATTGAGTTCTTTGCTGCATGTTTACTCATGCTTTGCATTGTTGTTGTAGAAATGACTGTGGGTTTCATGTCCTCTTATACATTCAGCGCTATGGGCGCAGTGACATGTATAAAATTGATACGGTTAGTAACATGCTTGTTAAGTAACAGTGTGATTTGTTTTCATTTTACAAAATATACTTGTGCCTTTAAATGCAGGAGCAAATTTTATGTTACCGTAAGCAGCTTGCTTATGAGCTCAAGCACGAATCCAATGACCATCCTTCCACATCAACCTTGAACCTTGATGATTCACCCCTACATGTGTATTCAGCAAGACCCCCACCAGGAAGATCAACAACCTCCCCATCTGTGTCAGGAAGCTTAAGTGCAACAGAATCTGACCCTTTGGGCGCTAAGAAGCAGTCTGCTGAGGAAGAGGGCACTTCGAGCAATAGATTGGTGCCTAATGAGAAGGAAGAGGGTGCTGCAGCGCACACTAAAAGAAAAAGAAGAAGGACTGAGAAGGCCATTGCCAGTGCAGACGACGACATAATCCACCTCCGCCGGTCATCAAGGGAGCGTCGTGCACCTGATCGGTACCTTGTAGGCAAGTGAAGATTTAGCTGGTCACATAGCTGCAATGGAGTCTGTAGCGGAAAGGCTACTCGCTGACAATGTGACCTAGCTCTTATGGTGAAACATTGAAAAGCAACTGATGTGCCTTTTATCTTGTAAGGCAACGTTAAGTATAGTAACTTAAGTTATGGCCAACAGCAGTTCCTTTTGCCTAGCTTAAACTATAACTTTATATGATTCCAAGTAATTCATCAAAACTAACAGCCAATTCCTTCTCAATGTAAGAAAACTAGTTGGATAAGGGGACACTCAGACATGCCCCTCCACTGCCATCGCTAGAGTTCCGGTCGTGCCCGCTCCTGCCGCTGCACACCTTTCCCTCTCATTCCACTAGTTCCCTTACATTTGAGAGATCTACATAGGCTGCAGAGTACTTATCCATCTTATCCCACTAGTTTATTTACTTTTAAGAGATCTCATAGGAGTTGGTCAAGCCCAAACCTATGAAAACATAGCGATGACCAACTCGCACCCACTCAGACATGTCCCATTAGGCCACCATAACCCATCATGTGTAGTTTTTCCTAGTCATCTAAGAGTTACATGTAGAGTACAGAGTACTTTCTCCTCTAATACTACTAGTTTTTTTTACTAGGGCCAACTTTCAGAGTACTTATCCATCTTATCCCACTAGTTTATTTACTTTTAAGAGACCTCATAGGAGTTGGTCAAGCCCAAACCTATGAAAAGATAGCAACAACCAACTCGCACCCACTCAGACATGTCCCACCAGGCCACCATAACCCATCATGTGTAGTTTTTCCTAGTCATATAAGAGTTACATGTAGAGTACAGAGTACTTTCTCCTCTAATACTACTAGTTTTTTTACTAGGGCCAACTTACGTGAATGTTTAACACACGCTGCCTTCTTCTTGTGCTCCTAGCCCTCGGCCTTGTAAGTCTCCGCCTCCTATACCATCTCCTCGATCTCCTCGTTTCTTAGGCGGGTGATGGTGATATTGTTCTTCTGGCCTGAGGTATTAGGCGTAGTTCTCTGGCTGGTTATGGTGCCGAACTCAGACATCTCATAGGAGTTGGTCAAGCCCAAACCTATGAAAACATAGCGACAACCAACTCGCACCCACTCAGACATGTCCCACCAGGCCACCATAACCCATCATGTGTAGTTTTTCCTAGTCATATAAGAGTTACATGTAGCACTGCCATCGCTAGAGTTCCGGTCGTGCCCGCTCCTGCCGCTGCACACCTTTCCCTCTCATTCCACTAGTTCCCTTACATTTGAGAGATCTACATAGGCTGCAGAGTACTTATCCATCTTATCCCACTAGTTTATTTACTTTTAAGAGATCTCATAGGAGTTGGTCAAGCCCAAACCTATGAAAACATAGCGATGACCAACTCGCACCCACTCAGACATGTCCCATCAGGCCACCATAACCCATCATGTGTAGTTTTTCCTAGTCATCTAAGAGTTACATGTAGAGTACAGAGTACTTTCTCCTCTAATACTACTAGTTTTTTTTACTAGGGCCAACTTTCAGAGTACTTATCCATCTTATCCCACTAGTTTATTTACTTTTAAGAGACCTCATAGGAGTTGGTCAAGCCCAAACCTATGAAAAGATAGCAACAACCAACTCGCACCCACTCAGACATGTCCCACCAGGCCACCATAACCCATCATGTGTAGTTTTTCCTAGTCATATAAGAGTTACATGTAGAGTACAGAGTACTTTCTCCTCTATGGTGTTGATGAGGAGTAGATCTCTTAAAAGTAAGAAAACTAGTGGTATAAAGGGGGAAAGTACTCCGTCAAGTAAGAAAACTAGTGGTATAAAGGGGGGAAAGTACTCCGTCAAGTACTTAGGTCTCTCCAAAGTAAGGAAACTAGTGGTATAAACGGGAAAGTTCTCTGTCGAGTATTTAGATCTCCTACAAGTAAGTAAACTAGTGGGATACCTGGATCTGGCCGTCGACAGCGGGTCGGCGCCCGACCTCGACGACGAGGTGTATGCTGGCGCCTACATCAGCCCCTATGGGTGTCGTTACAGATATGATGCCTACCTCAGCTCCTACGTATTTACTAAGTAAGTTGGCGCCTACCTAAGCGTCGTTGTATTTTCTTACAGAGCTGGTGGCTAACTCAGTGTCATGTTATGTAGTTAGTCAGCAGGCACATACCTAAGCGCCACCATATTTACTTACTAAGAAGGCGCCTACCTCAGCGCCAGAAGAGATGAAGGTCGAGGGTTTTTCTACAAAATCACCGGGCCATCCGTCGATCTAGGCCGTTCTTCACGCGATCCGACGGCTGAGAAATGGAGGCGACGTGGCCTTCTGGTTTGGCCGAGCTTGGGCTCCGGATTCGTATTATAGAGATAAGTTCAAGTTTTCAACCGCAGCTCGCAGGTCATCACAAACGACTTGATCTCCATCTTAGCCGCTGGATACTACCTACTTAGTCTTGTGCAAATGCAAATGCAATGCAATACACAACAGTACAGTAACTTAATCATATAATAGTACTGGGCAGTGGCCACACTGGCCAGTAGCGAGCCACTGCCTACTAGTTCACTACTACTAACAGGCCACACAGAAATGATCTCCTCGCGCATCACCTTATAGTCCAGTAACATCCAAAATGATCAATGCAGCCCAAGTAGTCATTGTTACAATCGACCTCTCTTATGACCTCTTTTCCGACCTCCTCTCCCTTGAGCTCTCTGACTAGGCATGGGTGTTCCTCCAAGGTACCGATCAGGTGCACGACGCTCCCTTGATGACCGGCGGAGGTGGATTATGTCGTCGTCTGCACTGGCAATGGCGTTTTCTGCAGAGGCTTCATCATTGTCTTCGGACTCGTCTTCTGAAGGGGCTTCATCTTCTGGAGAGGCTTCATCTTCTGCAGGGGCTTCATCCTCGTCGTCTTCATTCTCGCCTCTGGTAGTCACCCCAATTGTTTGGGACGAATATGCCTTACAGAGATCTACGACATTCCGCAGCCTCCGTTCTTGCTCCTGTCATGCAAACATGAAAATAGTTAGCTGCTATAAGTTTCTATACAGGTCAGCCTACTCTGAATGTTACATTGTTAGCTAATATTCCTGTCCTCTGAATCTCAATGCATGCCTACTCTGAATGTTACATATAGCTGCTGTCATTTTGTAATATTGCTGTCACGTGTTAATTCTTATTTATTTACTCTGAAAGGCTGAATGCCATCTCTGAATGAAATGTCAACGTGTCTAGAGTCGACTTACTTCAAGAAAGGTGCCCAGTGCGCGTTCTTCCACATTTGTCCTTGGAAAGTTTTCGCTTATAGTCAAGACTTCCTGCAACCTGTCACTCTGCAGAAAGGAATCATAGCATAGTTGTAATTTCATTTAAGAAAATATATCCCTGCCATCCAGCAATATTCAGCAATATATCCCTGCCATTTAAGAAATTACCATGTTGTTAATGATATCAGCATAATCAGCTGCCATCATCTTCAGCTTGCTCCTCGTCCTCTGTCTGTACCATTTTAGGTACTCTGCAAAGTTCTCGTCTGTGTGGGGCTCATCATTATGAAGCACGTTTGCAGCAGAGTTATTCCAGCTATTGATGTAGTCAGAGAACAATCTCTCATAGTCATTCTGCTTCTTTTTTCTTTTACGATTAATCCTGTAGGTACAGGCGTACAGCTAAGTGAGGTACAACTAACTAGCTAATTGAGGTACAGCTAAGTGACTTGTATTCAAAGATGCTTACTCGTGCAATCGCTTGTCCGTGTCAGACGACGTCACGGGCCACTCCTGCCTCAATCCATATTGGCGTGCAACCCTGTTTGGCAGTTGCCACTCAACACAATAGAAACATATCAATGGGCATTTCATCATCCACATATCCCTGTCAATCTTGCACACGACGCTGAAGTGGTTCTCCTGATATTTGGCATCAATCAATCCGTACGGCTCCCAATCAACCTGCTTTTGCCACATTAGTCAAATAGTCCTTACTTTCTTATTACAAAATTAGTTTATTGAATGAAACTAACTCACCATCTCTGGAGTCAGTTTGTCAAGCTCATCCGTATACTTGATGTAGGCATTTTTACGTGGGGCGGTGGACTGAGCTCCCAACCAATGGTCGGCATAGGTTGGGCGTAATCGAAGGCCAACCATCTCAAACCAAGCAGGACGATCCTGAGCTGTGGGCCGGCCAACCGGTAAATAAGACCACATCCATAGCTGGAGTAAGTAGACACAACCTCCTATTGTAGGGTTTTTACTAGTCCGGCGAGAACCCTCGCAAAGCTGTCGGTACAAGAACCCCAGAACTGCTGAAGCCCAGCTGTACCCCCCTGCTGTTTGCCAACTAGTGAGACAAGGTAGGAACATCCATGATGCGATATCTCCAGTCGCATCAGGAAAGAGCACACACCCAAAAAGGTGCAATACCCATGCCCTGCAGTGGTAATTGACTGTGTCATCATCTGCGTTTTCAGGACACGTCCCAAATTGGTCCCTCAACCAACTAAGCTTTACTCCATTGCTGTGCTCACCCGCCTTTTCTGGAGGAAGGGGTCTTCCAAGGAATTCCTCCATTCTTTCTCTCCAACCATCACTATTGCATTTGCCGACGACTGGAAGACCAATGATACGAAGACCAAGAAAGTTCTGTACATCCTTAAGCAAAATTGTCATCTCACCGTTAGGTAGGTGGAAGCTGTGTGTCTCCGTTCTCCATCTTCAAAAAATAAGAAGTACGGTTATATGCACATCAATAACCGAAAATATGAATGTATGTCTACTAGTTCGTATAATTGGTACCTGTCAATTAGAGCTGTCATCGCCGCTATGTTGTAATTGGGCAATCCACGGCGAACCTGATACGATATGACATCAAGTCCAGCCGTAGCAAGCCGATTAGTGTACCTTTCATCGTATTGCATGTCCTTGAACGTGTCAGAATGCGTTCGAGGACGGAGAGTGTTCAATTCCTGCAAATATTGGAAATGAATAACTTAATTAGTGAACACAAATACTTATGCAAACAAAAGTAATAAGCAGAAGTAAGGTTGTTACCTTCCCTTGTGCGATGAATAGTCCTCGGTGGTCCTTGTCGTAGTAGGGATCCAGTAGTTCGAACGGTGCCATCCTACACAATGAGAAAGTACATATTAGTTATATATGACCAAATAAATAGCCTCAGCACGGGTAGGCCTGCTAATGGGGCTAAACCCACACCGCACCCACCCCTCCCCAAAGCAGCCACTTCAAATCACCCCACCCCACACCAACCCAAAATTTTAAATAATCACCCCGCCCCATTTAAATGGGTTAACCCATGGAAATCCATGGAAAACCATATATGCATGCCAGAATGCCTGATGAACACCTCACACAGTATAGCAGATGTGCTCACACAGTGTATCCTAGAATTACGAAGATTGGCAAAGGCACTGTGTAATCACAACCAGATACATGCAATTATATTTGGAGCGTCCATTTATGTTTGATTAAATCATGAACTGCTAACTAATTTAACGCACCTCACACAGTGTACAAGGGATGGCCCAAAGAGACAAATGCGCAAAAGAAATCAAGCTGATTTCTTTGATCCAGCACCTCGCGCCTGAATCAAATGCGTGCCTAAAAGCGCAAGGGGAAAAACAAGTTCGTGAGTAGGGATGGATTCCATGGCAGGGGCGGGCTTAAGGCCTCGTTCGGCAGCACCGATTTGAAGCCAGGCCAAGTTTCGATCCAGGCCTGGATCGAGTGGATCCCTGTATCTCACTGATTAAATAATATCTGAACCTACCACTACTCTTGTAAGCCATATTCAACTAGAGAAGGTTTATTGGTATATAATGTATCCTGGCTTTTCTTCAATAAACTGTTTCTGAAAATGGGTATATAATGTAATTGTGTAATTGTGGGGATAATATAAATATATGCACGTCATCCTTTTAGAGACATTTGGAAAAGATAAACATTAGTACTAAAGACATTCTCCCAAAAAAATGCCAACATTAGTACAACTAGAAAGACAGCGTGGCGTTGCCACGCAACCTTCACTGGGCCAGCCACTTGTGACCACCTATGTATGTCGTTTCTAGTTTTATCCGGTTGCAATACACAGGGAAACAAAATTAGAGCAGCGGGAAGGGCCAGAAAACTTGCTTACCTGAAGACGAGCAGAGGAGGCAGGGGCCCGCGACCGTGTGCAAATGGAGACCGACGACACGACGGCGCCGGCCGAAGCAGCGTCCGGAGATGCGGGCGGTGCTCCGAGCTAGGGTTGGGGCGCAACGCCTAGGCGCGATTCCGTCGCCTGGCCTATGGAGGTTGGCGGAACCCTAGGCGGGCGCAGCTCGTCGGCGGCGCCGATGGGGGTGGAGGAGCGTCCGGCGGAGGTCGCCGGCGGCGGAGGAGGAGATGCGGGCGGAGGCGCTCAGGGTTCAGGGAGACGGAGGAAGAGAAGCGGAGTAGCCTTTTGGGGGAAAAGTCACGCGGCAACGAGTCTTTTTTTTAAAATTTTCAGATCCCTAGAACTAGAATCCTCTTTTTTTTCAGATCCCGATGGTACCATTTCGTTTTTGAGCCCTTGGCACCTACTAATGTGTGCCAACAGATATTTAGTTTGTCCAGGTGATAGTTTTTCCTAGTCATATAAGAGTTACATGTAGAGTACAGAGTACTTTCTCCTCTAATACTACTAGTTTTTTTACTAGGGCCAACTTACGTGAATGTTTAACACACGCTGCCTTCTTCTTGTGCTCCTAGCCCTCGGCCTTGTAAGTCTCTGCCTCCTATACCATCTCCTCGATCTCCTCGGCGGGTGATGGTCATATTGTTCTTCTGGCCTGAGGTATTAGGCGTAGTTCTCTGGTCGGGTTCTGGTGCCGAACTCGAGACATGCCCTCCACCGCCATCGCTAGAGTTCCGGTCGTGCCCGCTCCCCCACCACACACACCTTTCCCTCTCTCATAGGAGTTGGTCAAGCCCAAACCTATGAAAACATAGCGATGACCAACTCGCACCCACTCAGACATGTCCCATCAGGCCACCATAACCCATCATGTGTAGTTTTTCCTAGTCATCTAAGAGTTACATGATGAGTACAGAGTACTTTCTCCTCTAATACTACTAGTTTTTTTACGTTTGAGAGATCTAGTTTTTTCTCTAATACTACTAGTTTTTTTACTAGGGCCAACTTACGTGAATGTTTAACCCACGCTGCCTTCTTCTTGTGCTCCTAGCCCTCGGCCTTGTAAGTTCCGGTCGTGCCCGCTCCTGCTGCTGCACACCTTTCCCTCTCATTCCACTAGTTCCCTTACATTTGAGAGATCTACATAGGCTGCAGAGTACTTATCCATCTTATCCCACTAGTTTATTTACTTTTAAGAGATCTCATAGGAGTTGGTCAAGCCCAAACCTATGAAAACATAGCGACAACCAACTCGCACCCACTCAGACATGTCCCACCAGGCCACCATAACCCATCATGTGTAGTTTTTCCTAGTCATATAAGAGTTACATGTAGAGTACAGAGTACTTTCTCCTCTAATACTACTAGTTTTTTTTTTTAGGGCCAACTTACGTGAATGTTTAACACACGCCCTTCTTCTTGTGCTCCTAGCCCTCGGCCTTGTAAGTCTCGCCTCCTATACCATCTCCTCGATCTCCTCGGGGGTGATGGTCATATTATTCTTCTTCCGGCCTCGAGGTATTAGGCGTAGTTCTCTAGTCGGGTTCTGGTGCCGAACTCGGACATGCCCCTCCACCGCCATCGCTAGAGTTCCGGTCGTGCCCGCTCTCCGCCACACACACCTTTCCCTCTCATTCCACTAGTTCCCTTACATTTGAGAGATCTACATAGGCTGCAGAGTACTTATCCATCTTATCCCACTAGTTTATTTACTTTTAAGAGATCTCATAGGAGTTGGTCAAGCCCAAACCTATGAAAACATAGCGATGACCAACTCGCACCCACTCGGACATGTCCCATCAGTGCCACCATAACCCATCATGTGTAGTTTTTCCTAGTCATCTAAGAGTTACATGTAGAGTACAGTACTTTCTCTCTCTAATACTACAAGTTTTTTTACTAGGGCCAACTTTCGAGTACTTATCCATCTTATCCCACTAGTTTATTTACTTTTAAGAGACCTCATAGGAGTTGGTCAAGCCCAAACCTATGAAAAGATAGCAACAACCAACTCGCACCCACTCGGACATGTCCCACCAGCCACCATAACCCATCATGTGTAGTTTTTCCTAGTCATATACGAGTTACATGTAGAGTACAGAGTACTTTTCTACTCTAATACTACTAGTTTTTTACTAGGGCCAACTTACGTGAATGTTTAACACACGCTTCTTTCTTCTTGTGCTCCTAGCCCTCGGCCTTGTAAGTCTCCGCCTCCTATACCATCTCCTCGATCTCCTCGTTTCTTAGGCGGGTGATGGTGATATTGTTCTTCCGCTTTGAGGTATTAGGCGTAGTTCTCTGGTGGTGATACCGTCTTTGATTGATTGATGCCAAATATCGGAGAACCACTTCAGCGTCGTGTGCAAGATTGACAGGATATGTGGATGATGAAATGCCCATTGATATGTTTCTATTGTGTTGAGTGGCAATCGCCAAACAGGTTTGCACGCCAATATGGATTGAGGCGGGGAGTGGCCCGTGGCGTCGTCTCGACACGGACAAGCGATTATTGCACGAGTAAGCATCTTTGAATACAAGTCACTTAGCTGTACCTCAATTAGCTAGTTAGTTGTACCTCACTTAGGCTGTACGCTTTGCACCTACTGGATTTAATCGTAAAAGAAAAAAAAGAAGCGAAATGACTATGAGAGATTGTTCTCTCTACTACATCAATAGCTGGAATGACTCTGCTGCAAACGTGCTTCATAATGATGAGCCCCACACAGACGAGAACCCGCGGGCCACTAGAGCGCGTGCTCGCCGCCGCCCCCAGGGGGCATCTGCGTGTACGAGCATGCGCTGGAGGCCGGGATGCGCTTCCCACTTCACGGCTTCTTCTGCGAGGTCCTCTCCCACTTGGCGGTCATGCCGAGCCGATCATGCCCAATCACAAGCGCACCATGGCGAGGTTCGTTCGTTGTGCTTTGCCAATTCGCCAAGTGGCCCGTCCCATACCCGCACCGTGTGT